GACTTCCTGAATGGGAAGGATGCCCTCTACTCTCCTTTCTTTCTGTTTGGAAATGTGTTGTGTGTCTGGACTTTTGAATTTTTTACTTGAGGAAAGTCTTCCTCTTTGGCAGCCTCTCTTGGCTTCCATTTCTTTCCTGCTTAAGGAATTATCAGTGAATCCTGCACTGTCAGAACAAATATGCCATTGACCTTGGGGATTTGTAGATTTAGAATGAATCTATCCTTGGATTTTGTCCTATCTTCCTCTTCACTGGAATCATTGGTAAAGAACTAGCCTGCTTTCAGCCTCTGCTTTCTTTTGGAGACTGCCTTGGAAATGGTTACAGACCTTACTGCTTTCTGTAAGATTCTTATAACTGATTTTTGCAGGAAAACTTGATCTTCAGAAACAAATCATGCTAATAAGTGAGGATTGGGTGAATATTTAATGTCTGTTACCTCACTGTTTGAAAATTCTTCATTCAAAATCTATTAAAAAGTCATTCTTACTTGTCATCAAGCCAATTTGCTATTCTAACGTATCTAGCTGAACAATAATGGAAAAATAAAATACACATTTATCCTCAAAATATGTTCTAGAGATTATTACTGATTTGAATTTATAAGCAAACACTTAACCCTTACTTTTTCAATTGCTGCTTCTCCTATTGTTGTTATGTACCATTGAGTCAGAACTGGCTTATGAATGACCCTCTAGTGTATTTTCAGAGGCAGTAAATCACATAGAAAGAAAATGCCCATTGTTCTCCCACTGGACAGCTGGTGGATTTGAACTTCAAGCCTTTGGTTTGACAGTACAGCTCCTCACCAGGAAGCCACCAGGATCCCTTTATCTCCCCCAGTTTAGTGTTGCTCAAAGTAAGTTCTGAATCCTTTGTATTAAAATCACATGAAAGGCTTGTTAGAAATGCAAATTCATAAGAATTTCTAGAATATCTGTGAATGCATACTGAAAATATGCAATCAAATTCACACATTTCTTTTATCTTGTGGACTCTGAAGTTTGAATATACTTGTTTCATCCCCTCAGTAGTCTTGTTCATGCAATAAATTGAAAACAAACAAAACTTCTATGGATTCTTACTAAGTTTATCTTTGATTTTAATTTATTTCCACTAACATAAAAGCTTTAGAAATATTATTAGGATAAGGTGTTTCCTTAGAATTGATCTAATTTATTATTCTTTTTTTCTCTAGACAATAAGAAACCACATAAAAAGAGAATACAAATACAGTATTTTTTTCCTTCTGATTTTTTCCTAGTTTCTTATTCTACAGTTATAAAGGCAATAGTAGCTATCCACTGAATAATTAATATATAAGTTAACTAATTGATAATATAATACTATTCATATTCAAGAATACAGAAGTAGTATTGATTATAAAATAGATATTTCTTTGCTGTTTCTTGGAACAAAAGTGTAAAATATAGCACAATGAAAAATCTTGGCTATTCTCAAAGATGAATTTAGGGGATCCTAATTAAACTGAATTTAAAAGAACTCTGAAAAGCAAGCAAATCATTAGCTATTACTACATTATTTTTAATAATTTAACAAATGTTCATTGGAAACTGCTAATTTATACAAAAATTATTAAAATAATTATTCAATGGTTATGTGTTAAACCCTGATATATTCAAGTTGCTTTGCTGGAGATTTAAAGATAAATATTTCCACATTCAAAATTGAGACCTGTGAGAAATCTGTGAAAAGAACTGGAAAATATGTCATTAAATAGAAGATAATACAATAACTTTTGTGTGGAAAAAAATACTGTAGAATCAGGACAAGGCTTAATATTAAATTATATGACAAAGAAAAGTTTTATACCTAGTATTTGCAGAAATGTATGCAGAGAGAAATGAAGCATGCAGTATCCAGGCAGGGGGAAATAAAAGCAAAAGTCAGGTGAGAAGATTCATGACCTACAATGGAAGACAGAGGAATACAATATAAGGACAAATAGATGGCAGCTCCTTGTGCACCGAAGGCTTCCATTTGCAAGTAATAGAGAAGTCACTTCATCAAGATGGCCATTTATGTCTCTCAAAACAAGTTGTGGAGAGAAAGAAAGATATGAAGATTTATTAGTTCAGTAAGTCAAAGACATCAAAAATCTAGACTTGCTAAATTTCTGCTTTGCCATCCTCAATATTTTAGCTACTTCTCTAAGTACTTCTCTCTTGAAATGTAAATGGAGTTCTGAGTGGCACAGAGGGTTAACATTCTCTATAACTACTGAAGAGATTAATAGTAAGAATCCTCCCAGGGGAGCCTCAAAATGACCTGGCAGGCCACTTCTAAAAAGCAAGCATTCAAGGCCCTCTGGAGCACAGTGCCACTTAGACACACATGCCCTTAGATGGAATCTTCTAGGTACTTTCCTACTCTTAATGCTATTAACAACAGTGGAAAGCGAGGCATTTTATAATCGCCTTGTATGGCATACACGTTATCAAGAAGAAATTCAATTCCCATGACGGCGGGGTAAAATTTAATACATGAACACCAACAAAGAGGTTAAAACAAATGCAATCTCTAACCTAGAGTCCTTTATACAAACATAACAGTTAAATTAAAATTAGTAGTTAGCATACCAAAATGCACATATGCATTGCTTACGTTTACAACATTCTCTGTGAAATAGGATGCGTGTAATTTAGGCTTGAATGGTTTATGAACCGTATGAGCACAGTATTCAAATCACATAATGAGCGAGATGTGGAGAGCTACAACCCTAAGCCAAGGTGACGGCTGCTCTCTGCAGCTACACTTTCCTGTATCATGTCCTTCTCCATGGACATAGTAAACCCCAATGTGTGAAAATAATGTGCAAGGGTGTTTCTCCTGACTCAGAGTAGCTGGGGTTCCTTCTACCATCAGCAGATATGAGGATTTGTTTAGAACATGAGCTCAGAGAAAGAGTCTGCAACCCCACAAGCTGAAAGAGCTTGCACTCTGATACCGTTCACTCAGACACTAAGGATAAAGGTCTCAGGTGTGCACACCTTCAAGAAACTTTGGGGAAGATGACAGCCATAGGAGACAATCAGGAACCCTCTCCTACTCTGCCTCTGTCAGTCTCTCATCACAAGATAGTTCCTAGAGACCATCCCCTCCATAAACTCCTGCTTTACTTCCATGATCATATCAGCTTGACATCCCCTGACCCCCTGCAGCCCTGAAACGCTTCCCCAGCTAGAGTCAAAGGATGAGATGTTAAACTTATTTCCTATACACAAGTTAGCAGTAATTGAAGATCAGGAGGAACACTTCCTAGCCTAGTTCTTTATCAGTTCTCAAGAAGACTCCATGCTCTCCACTCAGATATTCTGAGATGGGGACAGGTCAAGATGCAGGAGTGCAAGGGTGATGAAGAGCTTACTGAGGGCATGGGGACAATTTTGGATCCAAAGCTAGTTTAGAGCTACCTGTAATCCAGGCACCAGAGGCTAGACCCTACATGTAAAAGAGGGGTATTGGCCATAAAATCCTTCAGCTGTGAGGACCCTGGGGACCGGTGACATTCCAAGTGGGCCAAGTTTGATAGCAACTATGGCCTGGGTATGTTCTTCAGGAATCATATGAGGTAGGGTGTTGTACATATCTGAGACTTGCAGCAAGCAATTGAAGCACAACATGCTTCTGCTGAAGCACCAGCACATCTATACCTGTGAGAAGCCCTACCCTTACCGCAAATGCAGCAAGCCCTACCCTCACCACAGATGCAGCAAGCCCTACCCGCACCACAGATGCAGCAAGCCCTACCCGCACCACAGATGCAGCAAGCCCTACCCGCACCACAGATGCAGCAAGCCCTACCCGAACCACAGATGCAGCAAGCCCTACCCGCACCACAGATGCAGCAAGCCCTACCCCTACCACAAATGCAACAAGCCCTACCCTCACCACAGATGCAGCAAGCCCTACCTGCACCACAGATGCAGCAAGAGCTCCTGCACATACTCAAGTGTCATCCAGCACTATTTTATCCCCACAAGTGAGGAGTCTTAAGAGTGTGACCAGTGCTTAAGGACTTCAGCCACAGTTTGCAATTCATGCAGAATCTGCCAATCCACAACAATGAGAAGCTCTTCAAGGATGCAAGTATGACCAGGCATTCAAGCAAGAGTTCCAGCCTGTTGGAGCATTCAATGACTGCACATGGTCCAGAAGTCAGACAAGGGCAGTCATTGAGGCAAGACTCTCATCTGGACATCGGTACCCAGCAAACACCAGGACAGCTGCCGGAAACTCTGCAAGTGACAGGAGTGCAACACAGCCACTCCTACTTTTTCTTGCATGTGCAGACTCACATGGGAGAGAAGCCCTCCACGTCCATCGCCAAAGCTCCTAGCTCTTCCACTGCTAGAGGAGTCGCTAAGGAAGCTGGGAAGTCTTCAAGGAATGCTCACCTGTCTTAAACAACTGGAGGGAAATGTTCATGGCCTCTCACCTTACTTTTCGGCCACTTATCCCTGTCCCCAGTGAATCTTTTCTTGTTTCTGAGATTACAAACATTTATATTATCATTATGTGGTCAGCTTTTGTCCAAAGAAAATTTTGTGATACGTACCTGTGCTTTGAATGAGTAATAGACACCAATGTTGAAAAGGAATATTCTATGGAACTATCAAATTTTTAATGTTTCAATATTGCATATCAGAACAAATGATGACAAGAGAATGTCATAGGGAAAATTTTAAGATACCTTGATGTTGATTTAGTAGTATCTCAGGACTATTGATGAATTATACTAATAACATGGGAAAACTACAAAAGGAAATACATTTCTTGGTTATCATTATATGATGCTCATTGATCAAAAGGAAACATTTTGAGTAATGATAAGAATATTAAATTTAAAGCATATATTCACATTCTAAGATAATAAAGAAGTTATTTTGTAACTTTCAGAGGAATAAATAACAATAATATTTGTCTAATTGTTATTGTTTTCAAATTATTTCAAGTGTTTATATTTAACTATTTGCAGACCTCCAATGAAACCTTTGAAATTCCTCTCATGCTGACTGGAAATGTAGTATTAAGGAAAAGGCTCAACTATGAAGATAAAACTCGTTACTTTGTCATCATCCAAGCTAATGTGAGTATTAAATGTCTCTAATATTATGCCTGTGGGCTCATGAACTAAAGAATTATGCAAAACATAATTAATGATGCTAGAGTCTTTGGTGTAAATTTTAAATTAGAATTCCTCCTTGCTTTCAATGAAATTTGTGTTTTATATTCATCTATATAGGGGGTAGTTTGAATTGGAAAATAAGAATTGTTTTCACTCATCTTACTTTTAATTTTCTGAGTCATTCCCATGTATTGTCCATTCTCCAATCTTTTGTACGGTGTTTTGTTGTTTTGGGGCTTTGTTTGTTTGTTTTGCTCTTTAGCATATTATTATTTTCCCTTTTTAATTTTTTTTAATTTTAATTGTGATTTTAATGAAAGTTTACAGACACATTGGATTTTCACTCATTGATGTTGCACATTTTCCTCCTTTCCCCTCCCCTAGTTTACTTTTTTAAAAAAGCATATATTAATTCATTGTTGTGCAATTATTTGTTTTTGGCCACTGCCTTAATCTTAAACAAACCCAGTGAAACTGGAGGAGAGAGAGAAATTTAACTAAAGGAAATGGGTCATGTGTTTCAATAGTAGCTAATAACCCCAAGAGTGTTAGTCAAACTTCAGGATACTTTTCTGACTTATATGAGTTCAGTTGTTGATTCAGCAGGTAAGATATCAGGCTCCTAAAAAGCAAAATGCAAGATAGTTGAGTGTTTTGCAAGGACATTTATATATAAATACACTCACACACAAGCATATATGGATATGTGTATATTTTTTTCTTAATAACTATTTAATCTCTGCTGAGATAATTATTTGAGAAATTGAAATCTCTTAAGAAAACTACTGCATCAGGATTAGAAGAAAAGTCATCAATAACCTTGTTAAAGTAAAAATAAAAAAGCAAACAAAAACTTGCTTGTGGAAAGTGAGAGGCACTTGAAGTGCTTGCTGCAGAAGGTTAAACATTGCAGCCTTCAATATGGATTGCATTTTAATGTCAAGAAAGCCAAAATCCCCTCCACTGGAGTGATAGGCAACAATATGATAGGTTGAGAAAAGATTGAGACTGTCATCGACTTCATGCTACACTGATCCACAAACAATATTTGGTACCAACAGTCAGGAGATCAGGAGAGACATATTGCACTGGGAAAGTCTGTAGGTATGGGCCTCTCCAAATTGTTGAGAAGCAATGATGTCAGTCTGAAGACTAAGGTGCTCCTGATCCAAGCCATGGTCTTTTCAGCCTTTTGCTATGCATCTGAGAGATGGACAGGAGAGATATTTTTTTTTAAAGTTCAAAGCAGTAAAAAGAATAACAGACTTCATTTGTTGAAATATTCAGTATATCTTGTTACTACAAATTTTAATTTTAATATCTCACTACATTACAGAAGAATCTGAGACTCCCTTTATAAATGGCTTTATCCAGCACTGATTGTCTTTCATAGTCTTGTAATAAAGAGGCAAATAGCAAATGTCTATGTTGTTCAACTAATTAATTAGAAAAAAGTTTCCATTTAATTTAGATTGAAAGCAATAAAAATTTCTGAATTATCTTACCAACTAAAGGACCATTTTATGTTTCCTCAAATATGAAATGCCTAGATAATATATAATTCCCAAACATTTAACACCCTTGATACCAGCAGTCAGGAAGTTAGGAGATTCATTACCCTGGGAAAATCTGTAGTTAGAGACCTCTCCAGCTATTGAGGAGTAATGATTTCAGTTTGAGCATAAAAGTGCCTCTGATTTAGGCCATCATCTTTCTCATTACTTGCTACGCATCTGAGAGCCGAACATTGAATAAGAATGACAGAAACGAGTTGATGCCTCTGAGCTATGATGTTGGAAAAGAGCACTGAACATCCCATGGAGGACCAAGAGAACGAACAGATACGTCTTGGAGAGGGTGCAGATAGAGTACTCTTTGGAGACAAGAGTGATGAGTCTTCGCCTCACATAGTTATGCATGTTTCTAGGAGGACTATTCCTTGGAGAAGAACATGATGTTGGGAAGGGTGGAGGGTCGGTGAAGGAGAGGAAGACCCTCAACTACTGCAATGAGCTCTATGTGTTAGGAAGTATGAGAATGGCACAGGATAGAACGGGATTCAGATCTTTTGTTCAGGGCATCACTATGAATCATATTTGACTTGATGGCATCTAACAATAACAACAATAAATATTCAATTGTATTTATATCTCTTTCATAGCTTTCTTTTTTCCTTAATTGACATGAAGGAAAAGTATACAAACATTCCAAAATGAATATATCCAGATGATAAAAATATTTCTATAACCTTTTAAACGACTTTTTGGTGAAAAACAAAACAAATTGATATCTCCCTGATATCTCCATATGTCTGCTTTCTACTGACATACGGAATACATGTTAATTTTATATTCTTTGCCTTTGGGGATGCAGTTTCTGGGACATATTCTGGAGAGTGAGAATGAGGATAAATGCTAGGAAGGTGGTAATAGACTAGGGGAAAATATAAAACATTCAAGTAGAAATATATGTAAACATGAAAGAATGCAAAATTCATCATAGTCTCTCTATTGGTATTCACAGATATTAAATAGAAAAATGTCTAAAGCAAAAATATATTTAAAATACACAACATCTAATTCTCTTCCATTCTGTTTTGTTTGTTTTAACAAAAATTAAATAATTTCAAGTTACCATAGCAATTAAAAATATACCCTCTGACAGTTTATCTATCTTTGATTCATAGAAGTAGGATAATTATATTATCTCAGCAAACTGAGGTAAGGCCAGCGTGTTCAGGCCAAGTATAATTATGTTGCAACTTCCTTCCCCCCACCTTTATTTCTTTCTAAGTTGCTAAATCCAGATACATAATGTAAGGGTTTTTAATGTATGTATCTATGAGGGAGCCTGGAAGGTGCTGCTAGGCATTTTGTTAAAATACAAATACTTGAATACTATCTAAATGCTAGGTATCTATTTATTCCAAAGTTATTTTGACATTACCATAAAAGAACATTGGCCTCCCTATTTTGCATTTATTTCTGAAACTCACTCAAGTCCAAACTCACTGACATTTAGTTGGTTAACTGACAACAACCTTCCACCAGATTTTCAAGACTACAAATCTTAATGGAAGTAGAAACTTCATCTTTTATGAAATTGCTGGTAGATTTGAATCACAGAAAGTACACAATCTTTTGGCTTACAGTGCAATCTACAATGCACTATGTCACCACAATACATGTCAGAGGTTACATCTCCTATGCTCTCACTCCATTCATTCAATACTATTAATAAGCTGCTAATCATGAAGTAAACGAATTAAAATTAACACCTGCCACTAATTAAATGTCAAAGAATAATAATTGAAACATTTTATACATAGTGTTGTATGATAAAAATTAAAATATTTATTCTGTTACAGGGAAAATTATCTTTTTTAGATGAACACTACATTTGAATTATTTGTAGTGGCATACAAAGTTGCCTTATAAAAAAGATTGGTTCATGAAAATAAAGTATTTGCAATGGTTTCTTAGTTGTTTACAAAAGTCACTTTTTTAATTTTTTATTGATTTGCATATAAAATGGGTATATATTGTGTTTCATTCACACACATTGTGTTTCATGTATTCCTTCACTCACATTTTGTTTCATAAGATCATTCCTAAACACTGTGATTTAGAAAAGTAATCATCATTGCACTATGCTAACCACTACCCTGTCTTTTCAGATCCCTACTGGATCTTTCCCAATTCTTTTACTGCCTCCCTCCCCCACCAAACTCTACAACCTCGTGATACTCTACCCTCCTCAGTCCCTCTGCACCCTCTTCTCCACCCTTGAACTTCAATACATATCTTACTAGTTTTCCTTCTATTTTAATAATCATAGTCTTATTCGGTATTTGTCTAAGATTGAATTAGTTCATTCAGCATAATGCTCTCCAGTCTCTCCCATACTATGTAATATCCCTTTTTTAAAATCATTGCTTCTGAGTGCTGCATAGTATTATATTGTATAAATAACCAAATTACATATAGACAAAAGGCATGGAAGAATTTTAACAGGAGACATTTGGATAGACAACAGACATATGAAGAAATACTCAAAATCACTGGCAATAAAGAGATGCAAATCAAAACCACAATGAAGTACCCTGTTACTCCAGTAGCAGTGGCAATGTTTAGCGAACAGTAAGGGTTAAATGTTGGAGAGCATGTGGTGAGACTGGAACTTTCATACACTGCTGGTGAGACTGTAAAAGGGCACAACCATTGGATCAGGCATACCTTAGTCTCCAGACTGACATTGTTGCTCTTCATTACCTTGGAGAGGTCTCTGACAGCAGACTTTCCCAATTCAATTCATGTTTTAATTTCCTGGCAGCTAGTACACAACTCATGGTTGCTGTGATGCTGACCACTGTGACACTGATGTGCCAGACGTGTTAATGGTCACCCATGGTGGACAGTGTTTGCTGGAGCTTCCCGACTAAAACAAGCCTGGAAGCAGAAGTGGCATCCACTTTGGAAATATGGCTTGCCTTCAGAAACCCTATGAACAATGCTCAGGCCTTTCATTCATAGGGTCACTATGAGTCATCTATGACTCGATGGCACCAAACAATAATAACAACAGTACCAAGAGTATTGATTGTAGAGCCAAGCAAACTGAAGCTGTTAACAACCTAAATTTCTTCACCATCTATCATGATGCTGCCAGACAGCCCAGTGGTGAGAATCTTTGTTTTCTTGATGTTGAGCTTCAATCCAGGTTGAAAACTGCCAGCCTTGATCATCCACAGCAAGCACTTTAGGTCTTCCTCAGTCATTTTCAGCCAGCAGAGTTGTGTCATCTGCATAATGCAGATTGTTGGTGAGGATACCTCCAATCTTGAAGTTACATTTCTCCTCATAGAGCCCAACCTCCTTGATAACCTGTTACACATATAGATAAGATATGGAGATAGGACACACCCTTGACACACACCCTTCCCAATTTTAGCCATGCAGTGTTTCCTTACTCTGTTCTGACAAGTCTTCTTGGTCCAAGTATAAGTTTTGCATAAGCACAATCAAGTGTTCTGAGATTCCCATTCTTCTCTGAATCAGTCACAGTTTGTTGTGATCCACACAGTCAGATGTCTTCGCATAGTCAATGAAACACAGGTAGACATTCCTCTGGTACTTTCTACTTTCAACCAAGATCCATCTGACAGTAGCTATGATATTCCTCATGACATGGCCTTTTCTAAATCCAACCTGCACTTTTGATTTTCTGACTCCAACTCCTTGCACATTTCATTGTAATACTTTACTTTGTCTTCCCATGCTGCCCTCTGCAATCTTCTGTTCAACTCCTTAATATCTTGTTTTCTTCCTTTTACTTTGATTTCTTGGGGCCCCAGTAGTTATGTTTCAATAAAGTTATATTTGAAGACAAATGAAATTCATTTTGAATCCTAAATTCCATGCTTTCAAAGTGTTACACTAATCATATTATTGATCAAATTACAGAAAGGAAAAGAAAGGGAGAGTGAAAAGGAAGGGAGAGAGGGAGGGAGGGAGGGAGGAAGGAAGGAAGGAAGGAAGGAAGGAAGGAAGCCATTCTCTTGTGTAATGTTACAAAGCCTTTAAATCAAATATCTCTTCACAGGACCGTGCACAAAACCTGAATGAACGGCGAACCACCACCACCACGCTCACGGTGGATGTTCTGGATGGAGATGACTTGGGGCCAATGTTCCTTCCTTGTGTTCTCGTGCCAAACACTCGTGATTGCCGCCCAGTCACCTATCAAGCCGCCATACCAGAATTGAGAACTCCGGTAACCTTACTTTTTTTTCTTCTTTTCATTCCCAACTCTTAAAACCAAATAACTCCTGCTCAAGAGTTTTAGAGGCTAAATGAGAGAAATCAGCAAATTTCACAGTGTGAATTTTGAATATTTATTGTTATAATTTGTTTCTGAGTATAGGTATCTTTTTTTTATGATGTATGTATAATTTATGTAGTAAAAAAAAAAAGTCCTGAAGGAACTGTCACAGTGGTGTTTATGGCTTTATTTTACTTCTGTGTATATAAATCATAACTGAGTTCTATTGCTTAGGATACTTAAAGGAAAACTTGAAGCTTTCCCCTCAATGATTTTTTAAAATGTAGTCCTAAATATGACTATACACAAAGACATCAAAATAGAAAACAAAATCTTTTAACTTTAGAATCATAAAAAAGTTATTGGTGATTCAATTTAGTTTCTCATGGGAGGGGTCAAATAATTATGAGTGAAAATATGTTTCTCTTACACACGTGTATTGAAGAAGCCCCAAGTACAGACAAAGGAGTTTTAATGAAATAATCTGTAGGGAGTTGAGCTACTAACACAAAAGTCATATCTGTCAGGCAGTTCAATGCCACCAGCCATTCCTTGGGAGAAAGATGGGAAATCTTTTCTCATGTGATTTGTAGCTTTCCAAAAACCTACTGAAAGGTCACCTATGAGTCGGTTCTGACTCACTGACAATGACTTATGAAATTGAGAAATGAATAAATATTTTCTAGACTTGATTCTATATAATCTGTGTGTATACATGTATGCTTAATGGTAATAAAACTATTAATTGCTATCATCTTGGAATTTACACTTTGAACTATCAAAATGACACACACACACACACACACACATACACATATATATAAAGATACAAAAAAGTATAAATGAGTTATAAAGCAAACATATATCCTGCCAAAGCTAAAAATATCAATCTCTGTCTAAAAGAGAAAATATTCATTCTCCTGTAAGAGAAGGCTCATTTCTGAGAGCCAAACTCACATTTGTTGTTTTTCTTGAAAGTATTCTGTTCCCAGAGTTAGTGACATGTCTCCAAATGCCAGAATTTGTTGGATGAGATGTGATTATTTTTAAAATAGTGTGTGAATTTTGGTTTTTTCATCCACTGTGCTCTAAGATGTTAAAGAATACAACATAGCTGTTATGCCAATAAGCCCAAAGGAGAGATACATATTAATTCAATTAAATGAATTGAAGAAATTTATAAAAATTTACTCAACTATTGAAGGAAGCCAACATTAAATATTATGGTCACTATTTTGATTCTCACATCGTTATTTAGGGTTGCACCAACCCTATACAAACAGCTGACTGTTTCAATTTTGATCTTTATTTTATTATGGATGAATTAATTTCTTGCTTGCTTTTAAAAATGTACTTGAACCACTCCTTAATTTCTTTGAAAAAAAGAGGGTATTCATTCTATTTATTTAAATAATTGAAGCAAATATTCATTTATTCAGACTTATAATTGATTTGGGGGTTTCTCTTGTTTTTATTTATTCCACTTTTTTGTTTTTATTTTATTTTATTTTTGGTTTATTTTTTTAAATATCACTACTACTTATTTCCATAACTTTTTAATCACCCTAAACAGAACCTGTCCATTTACATTAGTTTCCCATTTCCTTAATAATAATAGGCGACTGGAACGCGAAAGTTGTGAACAGGGAAAAAGAATCAGTAGCTGGAAAACATGGGCTCAGTCAGAGAAATGAGGCTGGAGATTGAATGATAAAGTTCTGCACATTCAATGATTTATTCATTGCAAATATCTTTTATAAGAAACATAGACACAGGCTATACACATGGATCTCACCTGATGGTATGCATAGGAATCAAATCAATTACATTTGTGGGAAGACTCGCTGGAGAAGAACAATATCAGTAGTGAAAACAAGGCCAGGTGATGATTGTGAGACAGACCAGCAGCTACTCATATGCAAGTTCAAGCTGAAGTTGAAGAAAATTAAATCAAGTCCACGGGAACCAAAATTTGACCGTAAGTCTGTCCCACTCGAATTTCAAAACCATCTCAGTAACAGGTTTGAGGCCTTGAGCACCAGTGAATGTAGACCAAATGAGCTCTGGGAGGATATCAAGAAAAT